TGGAAGCGACTTCTTTATATCTTTTTTCTTTCTTTTCTATTTTTCTGCAACTCTTTTTCTTTTTGCACCTTTAGTTTTTTCTCTCATTTTTTCCTTTTTCTCTTTTCTTTTTCACTCTATTTTAATTTGTATTAGTCTTACTGTGTTTAAAATTTTCAATGAAATTATATCTATCTATCTATCTATCTATCTATCTATCTATCTATCTATCTATCTATCTATCTAATATTTGTAACTACCCAGGCATTGCCAACTTTGCATTAAAAGGGAGGCATTTGCAACTTTGCAGTTTTATCATTAACTTCTGGATTCAGGAAGGATTTTTCAGGAGCGAGGCACCACTGCCTATTTTAAGCCTGATGGCTCCTATCCAACAAACAAAAATGCATTCACCATTTTCTGCATTTACTCAGTCATCCTTCCTTATTTAACCTGAATAAGCCAAGATGAACAAAGATAAAGAGAACAGGTTATCAAGTATCTTCTCCATATTTTTAGGCCTCAAATATTGGAGGCAACCCTACTTAATTGGACAAAATGGTGTGCTTTACTAAGATATTGTGTGAGAAGCAAGGTAAAACCTGGGATGAAGACAAATAATTTTATCCTCAAGGTATCTTGCACATTTGTCATAGCAGGCTTCCAATGGCCATAATATGGGAGTAAAAAATTCCATCTAAGCGTTCTGAAAAGCTATATGGATGGCTCCTTGAAGATGCAGTAGAGGCTACAAAATAATCTTCCTTAGAAGCCTTCACTGGCACACAGGTCTTTTTTTTTAAATTTATGATTATGTGCTCTCAGGCATGTCCCACTGGCCTCATGGTAAGAGTTGTTACATCACCTGCATTCTATTTGCCCCCAGCCTGTTGCATTGCCAGGAGCTCTCCCGAAAACTAGGAAGGAGATCAACCTTCATATAGCAGTCAATAAGTCATTAGGAAATCCATAGTCCATCCTATCTCATCATTCCATAGCTTCAAGAAGACCATTGGCTCTAGCCTCTGTAAAATCCCCCAGAGTATCCGTAGGTTCCTTAAGTCTTTGGAAGTGGATCATCTTAATGGGCCTCTCATCTTTGCAGAAGGGATATGTGGTTTAACCACATCATAACCATATCCAAGCTACCTCTCTCTTGGTTCAAGGTAAAAAACAAATTGAGGGTATATTCCGCTCTATGTGTTGGTCTGATGACAATATGTAGCAGTCCCATGGTTGTCATGGAAGCCACGAGATCCCAAGCCAGCCCTGCTAAGGAAGGTTCAGCTATTCAACAAACCATAATTAAGCAACTCATGATTTAACTAGATACACCATGTCTGTATCTGGTTTGCATCTAATTCAACATATTTTTTTTCAAAACATGCTTCAAGTTGATATTCTACATAAGTACAAGCCTTTACTGAGTTATGTTTCAACGTCTCTAATTTTTTTGGCAAGCAAATGTTTATTCCATCCCAGTTTTTCTATCGGAATGCAAATAAATATTGATTTTTAAATGAAGATTCACACACACTTAATTTTTAAAAATGTGCATACAATTTCCTGTAATGTCTGCACTGTTATATCAAAAAGTATGTAATGCAATTTTTTTTAAAGATAATTATATCCAGCTTGTATTGGTTCAGCAAGTGAAAACATTATATTAAAATGCAAACCAAAGGAATTTCCTACCACTATCACAATATTAACCCAGAAAAATGTAATTGCAATGTACTGGGTGGGTAGTACTGCCATCTGATGGCATAAAGATGTATTACAGCAATAACTATCAGGAACCCTATACATCTTCCAGCAAAATGGATATCCACTTGAGTTTATCAAAAAGTGCCTGATCACTCAACCTACTACAACACAACCAACACAAGCTATGAAAAGGATAACACTGCCATACATCAGAAACATCTCAGAAACAACCAACAGATCATTACAACCACATGACATCTCTGTAGCACACAAACCAACTAAAGCCCTCCACGACATCTTAAGTAAACCAAAAGACCCAGTAGCCCAAGAAGAAAAAACAGGAGTCATCTACAACATACAGTGTAAGGACTGTAACAAGCATTATGTAGGACAGACAGGCAGAAGGCTAGCAGAGCACATCCATGAACACCAACTAGCAGTCAAAAGACATGATGAAAACTCCTTAATCTCACAACACGCGGACAGACTTAACCATAGTTTCAGCTGCGAAACTGTCAGCATCTTACACCAAGCTAAAACCAAAAATGAGAGGGAATTCCTGGAAGCTTGGTATTGAGACAAGGCAGCCCACAACA